ATCCATTATCAATAAAAGGGTGTCCAGCAGGGGGCTGAGTTTTTTTTGGTTTTATTTTGCACTCCAGTATGAACACAAATCCCCCAACTCGAGGATCACCACAACATAACCTAATAGACCTACACCTTAGTTCACAGATTCACTTTGTCTCAGGTGTATTTCTGGGATTTCACACAACCCAGGATTCAAATCATGAATACATAATGGACTTGGGTTTACATCATTATGAATGAAATGTGCTCTACTTGGAACCAGCCGGGGCCCCTCCCCTGTTAACAGGTTGTGTGTGAGACTTTAAATCATCAAACTGTAAGTAATACATTTTAAATTGTTATTGATCCCTTTACCCCTGGTCCTAAAGTGTATATTTATTTTCTTACTCTTCTTATATTTATACTTGCACTGCTGTAACTGGAGCCTCGTCGTCTCGTCTCTCTATATACTGGACTGTATGTGGCGGAGATGACAATAAAGTTTTTCTGTGGAGGAGACTTTTCCAGCAACAGCACCTTTTTTATTTTTATTTTGCCGATGCCGCCCCGGGCAACCACCCATGTCACCCGTATCAAAAACCGCTACTGCCCTCACCAACCAAACTTCACTGAAGCAGCAGCAAAAGGAGATCAAAACTACGCTCCACATTTGATAAACATCGTCATGAATTCCCTCTGACTTCTGCTGTTTGGCTCCCACCACGATAAAATCACACTTCATGCACAGCTCTCTCTCTCTCTCTCTGTACTTCAAGAACAGTTTCCGATCTCAAATCTCTGTTTTCAGCATTATTCATTCACTTATTACCTACCAGTCTACCGTTGTTGGCAGCCTTGTTGGCCGCTCTTTTTTTTTCTTTTTACTTAAATGACCTCGGAAAAGAGAGTCTAATTTTTGTTGTTCAGTACTGAAGAAATTTAAACTTTTTAAAATTATGTAAAATTGCACAATGTGTTTGAGGTTATCTGCTATAAAAAGCATGCAGGCCAGGAAAATCTCCTTTTTCTGTGTTTTATCCTCAGTTACTCTGACACGAAGGCATCTTGTCATGGTCCGCGGCCCGGTGTCCAAGGAGCTGATGGGATGCCCACGCCCACGGGTGTGGCTGTCGACTCCACACCTGCATCCCATCCCAGGCGATCAGGTGGACCATTTAACCCAGCTCAGCAGGCTGCTCCACGCCAGTCCGTTAGTCACCTCTTGGCGGTAACAGCTTGGCGTGTTTGGAGCCCTCTCCTGCCTGTCTTCCTGCCCGCCTGGAGTTTTTGGATCACTACCGGCACTCGTCTCCTCTAATCACCTGGAGCTTCCCCGCGGACCCTCACCCCTCCCTCCAGTTCCCACAGCCCCATCTGGACCGTAAGATTAATTCTCTACCCACGTATGCTTTTATTTCTCTGTTCCCCAGTAACCCTCTTCCTCTTTCTGTTGCAGCCTCCCACAGTGCCGATTACGGCGTTCCTGAGTTATTTCCCAGTCCCTTGGTTTTCTAGTTACCTGGCGTGTTTTCCTTTGACCCTTCCGGGACGCCCTTAGTTAAAATAAAGTTTTTTTGCGTGCACCTTGGTGTGTTGTCTCTGCTTCTGGGCCCAGCTTGTGTGCTGAACTACAGTTCATGACACATCTGCTTTGACACCTCTGATGAAGTTTCACATGTATCAGTACTGAAAAATGATGAGAATTATAATATTTCTGACTATCTGAGGCAAAATTGAATCGAATTGGGACCTTGTGAATCGGAATCAAATGGATTTTAGAAATGAGTAATGATACCCAGTCCTAGTGAATAGCCTAGGCCTGACAGAAGTGGATGTAGCTGTGGGTAATAAGAAAAGATGAAAAGAACTATTGATAATTTTTTTGTTAAGTTAAGGCCTGATCCATCTGAAATTCATAGCCAGTGCTCTGACACGGAGCCATCAACCTGTTTGCTGCAGCAGGCAGCAGCAAACAGGTTGTCAGAGGAGGCTGAGATGGTGATTAAGTTTAACATTGTCTACAATATTCCCAAAGAGTGCCAAAGGACTTTAAGCACAAGCACTTTTTCAGTAACTTATCTTTCTTGTAGAAATGTGCTCCAAACAAAGAACTTTGTGTTGACAAGATTGTTAGTTAATCATTTACAAATTAATAGTGTCTGTATAGACACAATTTCCCCCCCAAAAAAGTGCACATGTAAAACTGCGGTTTTATGCGATGCGGTTGAAAATTTTGAGTGCACCTAAGAAAAAAAGTTAGGCACACCAGTTCAACTGTGGCAAGAAGTTAGTCTAGAACCCTGCCTACTTAGCATAACTAAGGGAGGATTCAGGGTCACCTGATCCAGCCCTAACTATATGCTTTAGCTTTAGAAGGTTTGAAGCCAAATCTTAAAAGTAGAGATAGTGTCTGTTTCCTGAATCCAAACTGGAAGCTGGTTCTATAAAAGAGGGGCCTGAAAACTGAACCCTCTCCCTCCCATTCTACTTTCAAATACTCTAGGAAGCCAGCAACAAGAGCCTAAAAAAACTAAATTGTAACCAAGTATGGAAGCACTGAGACACTGTGGGTGTCAGGCTGGGCAGAAATAACACTCCATCATGTTACACAAAGTATTTCCAAACATCTGTATTTGTTAACTATGATTGCAAATTTCCATGTCTTGCCAGGGCCTGCTGAGAATTTGAAGAACAATTTGTTAAATGTACAGCTGTTGCGCAAAGGTGTTATAAATGCTGTGACGCTCAAGATTATGATCTACAGGATATTAACTGATAAAAGTGAGCTTAAGATTCTGTATAATCAGTGTTCGGATAGTGTGCCTTGCTGTTTTGCAGTCTTAAGGATTAAAGTCCTAAGGATTACTTTTTACTACACTGCAGTTCAGTTGTCATAAGTGATGGATGGAAGGAATTTTTCTGCAGTCACAGAAATATTAAACAAGGAGGAAGAAAGCAGTTTCACTGGATCACAACAGTAAAATATGGGAAAATAAGATGCATTTCATTTAAATGTGGGGCAGGTTTATTTAGTGAGGCAAATTTTGTGATGTCACAATTACAGTGTGATTCACTAACGATTTATTTACAAAAACGCAGCCAGTTCAGTAATAACCAGCATTCTCCCAAGAGAAGGACTCAATACTCATGAGAAGGGAGCTTGAGGGAGAGCACTGTAGGCCTGCTAACCAAAATATTCCAGTGGAAATGTAGGCTTCTCTCTGAAAGAAGTGAGGCAGTTCAGATCACTGAGGAGGCTGAAGGAAAATTAATATGCTTCTGATATAAGAAATAACTCTTCAGATAGAAATTGACAAGCACTGTGAAAGTGCAAAATCCATAGTTCTGAGGACTGAAACTCAGGTGGAGCTCAGGAGAGCTGCATTAATACAAACTGTTCCACCATATCAAATTGGGCCCATATCAAATTGGGCCCATATCAAATTGATGGCTGCAGTTATAGCCGCACATATAGTAATATCTACCAAACATCACAGTGCTACAATAGAGACTTATACATAACACTACACTTATATTTTGCTTTCTTTAAAAATAGCCTTTACTTTACAGAGTGATGAAGGTGGTTTTGGTTTAGAATTTATTTATACAATCACACAATACTGTATTCTATAAATAAGTGTGCACACTTTAATTTACACTGTTACACTTAATGTAATCTTCCTCTGTTTTCTGAGTTACCTTAGTGGCAGCTGCTCCAGTTCCTTGGCTGATGAACTAAGAATCTATATAAAGACCAACAAATTAGGTCATACCACAACTGTATCGTGGAGGGGAGGGGGGTAATGATATTTGCTATGTTACTTTCAGTAAGGTTTTTGTGTGTTTTACCCCTTTTTGTGTCTTTGTGGGCTCTTTTTGAATTATTTTCAAAACACTCAAATCATTACAAATTATATATTTAAAGTAGCTTATCTCAAAACAAATGGTAACATGTAAATGTTGACATTATGTGTACACTGTTTTATTGTAAATACATTTTGCTAAACAATGTTTAGTGCAGTGGTACTAACATGTGTTGTGATTGAAATCTGTAAATAAATTCATAAAACAGTGATGCTAATAGTGCTTGTAACTGATTTTGTCTTATACAATGAATATGTAGCATCTATAGAAGAACAATTAATATTTTTTAAATATGTAATGATAAATGTTTTTACTAATAACACAACAAAATTAATTAAAGTACATATGTGATCCAAAAAACACCTGTGGGACAGGTTTATGTAGTTCTTATGCTGACAGTCGGTTTAAATTATTCTTCTTATTATTAGAAATTATTAAAACTGAAAATGATTATTCTGTACAAAAAGGTCCCCATCAGTGCTATATGGGTGCTGCTGTTAATGAGCTCAGAAAAACAGGCATACATCTTTTTTTTTTTTTAAATAAAAGTATATTAAAATCAATGTTTTAAAAAAATAAGGCTTAAGCAGCTTGTGACATGGTTAACTTTTAATATCTACCAGAGGGCGTAAAAATATTATTGAAAAAAAGAAGGCAGGGTGTTGGGAAAGCAGCTAGTTAATAAACTTATCATGCAAATGCTAATGCTAACTCTGTTTCCACACAAAGTGTGGCTCATAACTGATCTCAGAGCAGAACTAGTGGCAGTTTGTCTTAGATGCTAATCCCCTGTTACAATCACTGGCTGCAGCCACAAAATGGCACTGATGTAAAGGATAGATGAATATAGGTGAAATATCCCAATGGCAGAAGGCTTTGTGAGATGGAAGGAGATGGAAGGACAGAGAGAGACTTTGGTGTATTTGAAGCCATGACAAGGCAAATGTTGTTTGCCTTGCTTGACCTGACAGAGACCCTGTAGGTCAAGCAATGCTAACCGCGATGAACCCAAAAATCTCAAAACTGACCCTCAGCTTTTGTTTTGTTACTTCAGTTCAATTGTGTGTTTTGATTGTGTTAATCGGGCTGCTGAGGTCTTCAGCCCATCAGTAGGTTAGTCAATTCCAAGACTTCCAATCCGTTTGATCGACTCCTTTGTATCCTCCCACACTTCCAGAATCCAGCGTTGGGATTGGATGTTGGCTGCCTGTCAGGAAGAAAGAGATGCTATGCTGAGGCCGAAAACTCAGACAGAACCAGGACACGGACGATGTTGGAATATCTTAACTGGGGGATTTTAAAGTGTGTTGGGAACTCGGAGCGATTTGAAAGTTGCTGAGCTTGAGCGGAGCAGCGACACCGGGTCTCCGTGTTCCCGCTGCGGACCGTCGCGGCTGTTCGCCTCTTGCCTGCTGCTCTCACAAACGCGAAGCCGGCGCTGTTTTAATGAGACTGGAACTGCCGTGTTTTCGACGCAGCACAGACCGGTGTGAGATTAAGTCTTTATTTAGCCCGAAGCAAACGGAAAGGCTCAGATGTCGTCGCTGGTAGCCGGGGCTAATAGCCGAGGCTGCTGGGCCACATAAATATCCCGAGAAAATCCCAACCTGATGGAGCGAGTGAGCGACGGAGCACGGGCTTATTTTGCGCCAGAAGGACCGTTATGACTGAGCTGCAGGCTCAGTTCTCTTTTTGAAAAGCGCCACGGGGTTCAGTGCTGGGTATTGATTTGATCGAGGGCTCATAAAAGCAGTATTTGGAGGTTCTCTGCATCAGGTGAGTGTGACATTATTCACCAATGACTATCACGGTCACGCTAACAACCCTGGTATTTATGCCACGATCTGTTTCGCTTGTTATAACCTTTAAAGTCCTTGTGCTTACATTTCTATAAGGCCCTTTTTCATACGGTCATTAAGCATGTGTACAACGCAGCGGATTTACTGTGTGCCGTCCTCCCATACAAAAACTGGGGCATTTTCCTCTAAGTCAGTCTTAAATATTGGAAGGAGATGGTAAACGGTTCAAGTTCAGTCCCCTCTCCTAAAAAGTGTTTTTAATCTTACTGAGAGCTGCGAAAACAACGCCAACAACCTTTACTTTGCCATGTTTTCAGATATGCTAATTCTTGCTTCCCAGTCCTCGGGTGATGGCACTGAGCACACAGACAGCCGTACGTCAGCTGCCTAGCTCAGCGGCAACAGTTGCACGCAGGAATACGGTCATGGTGGGGAAAAGCTCGTTGAATGGTAGCATGGGCTTGGTAGTCCGTGGGCAGGTGCTGACTGACAGTCTACCTGCACGTTTTGTCAGATGTGGGCAGTGTCAGAAATGTGCAGCGCAACCAGTTACCGTGAAGAAGATCCAAGTTCTAACCAATGACCTAACAGCTCCCCCAAATGAAGCCAAAAAGTCTCTATCGCCCCCTGGTGTCTGGCTACAGTATAGGTCACAAACCCCGCCTCCTCCATTTTAGAAGGTGGGACTGGGGTAAACCAAAAACAAAAATTCTCCTCAGATAATTTTTTCCAAGGATGTGCTTTCGGCCATTATTAGTAGTTCGCGTCATGCTGATTCGTGTTCAAGGGGTTTCCCTTCTCATAACTCTGATTCTAATTACAACTATAATACTGTTCAATTTGGTCATCGTAACAGCTCTGAAAAACAGCTGCAATCACGGAGAAACTTGCCTATCTCTGTTCGAGAATGGCAGATGAATCCATGGATGCTGAGAGGAGGGCAAGCGTTTACTTTACAAAACCATGACTGACTGTGTCATAGTGACAGCATGAGATGATCTGCAGTAATCAACAAAAGGACCTGAGGTCCTGCTGCACTTTTTGGTAAGTTAAATGTGTGTTTGTAAGCTAATCAGTAAAGTCCTTAGCTAGCTAGCTAAGCTTACAGTTGGCTTTTGGGTAAAGCTGTGCTCATTAGCTAATCCGTGCACATGAATGAATTTACCATGACTAAAGAAATCACTGTTACCGTATGCTACCCGTACATACGGGTGTGTGAGGACATGGAAGGATCAGTTTTATTTCAGATTTCAGAGATAAACTTCACATTTGACAGTTTGTTATGAGTCTTTTCTCATTGTGATTACAGGAGCTGCCCTCAAATTCAGACCTCAGCGCTACCCAGTAACATCATCCTGTATGTTCACTCTTAATGCAGAATACACTTAATTTAATATTGGAGTAAATTAGCAATAACTCCAGATGTAACTAATGGAATAAAGTACAAAGTCTAAAGTACCATGTTATGTACTGTTAGTGAATGCTGCAGCTGTTTTACTGAGAAAATTAAAGACAAAACATCAGGTCATCAATATACAGTGAGCATAAACATTAAGTTTGGTGTTTAAGAATGCTGCTGATCTCAGATCTGCACAGCTTTTGCTTTTAACAATGAATGTCTTCAGCTACATGAAGAGGACATTAAATAAAACCTGGTGAAAGGTCATAAGTTGTCACTTGTATGTTGAACTAAAACCTTTAACCTGGAATTCTACCCAACTGTGTTTTGCCAATAGCAAATCATTATAATTCATACCAGAGTACCCAGAGGGGATAATGTATATTTCTAATGTATAACTTTCTACAGGAGTGAATATATCATTGTTATGTAAAAGTCCAGAGCCTCTAAGCTTGGCTGAGGATGTGAGTACGTCTAATATCACACAATGCAAAGTTCGCTGTCCCACTGTTCATGAAATGCTGGGTTTGTCCATCTTCTGGGGCAGGCCTACAGTGGAGAAAGAAAAGTTTTCCTCTGAGTGTGATGCTGGTGAAGATTATGAGTCCTCCCTCTTTTTAATTATAGCGACATGATTGTGCAACATGTAGAGAGCTGCTGTTTTAAAAACCATGACAGCTGTCCATGGCAGCCACTGCCTCTACTTTATACATTACATTTTTAATTTTTGTTTAATCTTTCATGTTGTTGTTTTTTTTTTTTTTGGTTGTTGTTTTTCCCCCCTGTTGTTTCTCCCACTCCTGCTAAACTCTGGCTGTTTCTCAATACTCAAGTATGCAAGTCTGTACTCACGTTCTCGCTAGTCCGTACTTTGTAAGTTCATCGTCATTCCACAATTGGAATGGTAGTATACTTGATGACATCTCAGCTCCAGGGTTTTAACTGCCATCCCCTCTTAATTTAACTGTGATTAATATTTGCAATTGAAAAGACGCATGATGTAGTAGATTTCTTTATAAAAAAAAAACAAATAATTTAAATAAGTATTTTAAGCATTTTGGCCAAATTTGCTTTTACTTTTATCTGTTTCATAATGTCTAAGCTTAATACAGTTGAGCACAATCACTTCATGACAAAAACTCAAGTTTAATCTCTCTTAATAAGCTATGCTGCTTATTGAATGCTTTTATTTTAGTAGACGCTCAAGACCTACAATAGTCTGCTGGGGTTCGGAAGAGAATTGAACAAATATTTAAAACATAATTTGATCGTTTCTGGAGCAGTCTTCAGGATCTCCATATATTAACATCCTGTTTCTGTTTCCTGTTTCCTGTTTCCTTCTGAATTAAAATATTTTTAATGTTAGTGTTTGATGTTTAGTAAAGACTCTGGGTTCATGATTCCCTATAAACTTTTACTGTGTGTAACTGTGGAGACCTTACATGCAAGCAGCTCGACTCCAGGGGTGGGAACCTGGTCCTGTGTTAGCCATTTTTAATTGCGTGCATGGACTTCAAATATGTATGGGAAACCCCCACTATTCAGCAACACTAGTCAGATGTTCTACAATCTCTTTCTTTAGCTTATGTCTGACTAACAACAACATCCATCCATCCATCCATCTTTATCCGAG